CACACGCGCACACACACACACACACACACACACACACACACATGAATATTTACAAATACACAACACAACATACTCATTCACTCACAGACATACACAATTCACAAATATACTTATGCATGCAAACACGATAAAAACAAAGACAAACTCATCCCTGCCAACTCACATACACAAGCACACATGCATACATATATCAAACACACACAAATACAAACAAACACACACATATTATACATGTACATGCACACACATCCAATCACACGCTAATGCACAAGTACACACAAGTACACACAAGCGCACACAAACATATACACGCACATGTGCATAAGTACACACACACATATACGCATACACAATGTACATGACGTACACACACACACATACGCATACACAATGTACATGACGTACACACACACACATACGCATACACAATGTACATGACGTACACCCACACACATGTGCATACATACACCCACACCCATACACACGCACATAGACACACACATATATATACACATACCCACACTATAACACACACGCACACACACTCACACACACAAACACACAAACACACACACTACTGACCTGGTCCTGCACATCCCCATCACAAAGCTCCAGACAGAGCATGTCCTCAAACGTTTTACACAGGAACTCATTCACGTGGAAGTGCGGTCGCTCCTCCCGCTGGCTCACCAGCGACACAATGAACTCATGGATCGACGTCACCGCCATCTTGGAGATCACATGGTCTGCATTGCCAGTTGCCTGCACACAAAACAAAATTTTTATTGAAGAATTTGTATTTCTGCCCAGACTGCTCAATAACAGCAGTCTTTTGCCAACAAAAGGTTACTGGCATCTGTGGTACAGTGGTTAGGCTCTTAGCGGTTGCTTCCAGAAGACATGAGTTCAATTATAGAGTAGGGAAGCTGTGGGGTTTTTTTCAATCCAATATCTCCAACTATCAGTTGGAATGTTGCTGATTTAAAAGAATGGAATGAGAATGAAGCATAGCATTATGAAGCTTACTAGAAAATTGTTCACATAAAATATCCATACCTAAGGGGATGAAAAGAAAAAAAACACATGCATAGATACGATTCTCACAAACCCTTGCCTAGCTGAAGCAATGTAATGTCTATTTTTCTTGTAAGAACTAAACATTAGAACATTAAGATAACATACATCATAAAGAGATTTAGCAAGAAAATGAAGAACTCAGGGACTAAAATAAGCACAGTTAGGCCACTTAGCCCAAGTAAGACAACAAAAAGAAGGTGAACATTTGAGTTTGGGTTTTCTTTAACAAGAAGTCAATATAGGGGTGTAACTGTGTATACAACACTTGAAAGTTTTTTAAAGTGTGTGTGTGAGTGTGTGTGTGTGTGAGTGTGTGCGTGTGTGTGTCTGTGTGTGGGAGTGCGCGGGCCCAGGCCCATGTGTGTGAGAGAGAGAGAGAGAGAGAGAGAGAGAGAGAGAGAGAGAGAGAGAGAGAGAGAGAGAAAGAGAGAGAGAGAGAGAGAGGGAGGGAGGGAGGGAGGGAGGGAGGGAGGGAGGGAGGGAGGGAGGGAGGGAGGGAGGGAGGGAGAGAGAGAGAGAGAGAGAGAGAGAGAGAGAGAGAGAGAGAGAGAGAGAGAGAGAGAGAGAGAGAGAGAGAGAGAGAGAGAGAGAGAGAGAGAGAGAGAGAGAGAGAGAGAGAGAGAGAGAGAGAGGAGAGGGAAATATAAAAGACAGAAATATAAAAAAATATTACTTTCATCTATATCAAGTATGAATTGTTTCTGTCATAAATATATTTAAACCTTCAACAGCAGCAAAAAGCAGACATTTTTATTTTTTAAAATTTTAAATTCTCATCTCCTCAGGCGGGGCAACAACAAACGTGTCCTTATCTCACTCCATCTACACCTCCACACGCAGACCACTGACCTGCACCAGGTAAGGGGAGACCACACTCCACACTCGCAGCAGATGCAGCAGCGGCCGGGAGCTGTTGACCACACGCACCAGCACCTGCTGCAGCCGGTACAGGTGCAGGGCGTTGGTCGGCGGGCGAGACGACCCTACGCTGACCGCTCCTCCCACCCCAGCGCCAGCGCCACCTCCCAGCCTCTGGAGTTGAGTGATGCTTGCGTCACCCAGCTCCCTCAGGAAACCCAGGAGAGCGTCCAGGCACAGCTGGTTGGCCGCATCCTCAAACAAGCTGACAAAACACACACAGGTCAACACCGTTACTCATCATCATCATTATGATAATAATAACAACAACAACAACAACAACAATTTTGACAATAAGAAGAAGAAGAAGAAGAAAAAGAATGATGATAATAATAATAATATTAACAATAACAACAATAAGAATAATTATCAGCATCATCACCATCATCATAATAAAAATAATAATAATGAAGATAAGGAATATGATAATAATAACAATAATAACAATAATGATTAAAAAACAAGAATATGATCGATTGATTAGGTGTTTTACAGCACTATCGACTTAATTTAAAACAAGAATAATTATAATAATAATAATAAAAATAATAATAATGAAGATAATGAATATGATAATAATACAATAATAACAATAAGAATAATAATGATTAAAGAACAATAATAATAACAATAATAATGTGAATTTAAAAGGGGCCTAATCCCAAGACGGATGTAAGCCCTGTACAGGGATGTAAATTACAACAAAGCCAACTGACCTGTCCACCTCTTGGGAGAGGCCACATAGTGCTTTAGAGGCCTGAGCAAAGGTGAGCACCCCTCCTGCCTCCAGTGAGTTGTCCCAGCCAGACTCTAGACTGCTTTGTTCTATTAGGGCTGCCACATTGATCCGAGGGGCCACAGGTACGGCAGCCAGGACGGGGGCAGAGTACAGGTCTGTATCACAGCTCCTGACACAGACAATTACGCTGAGATTGAAGATGGCGAGGGCATGACTACGTAACACTTAGAGGACAGTGGAATCTTGTAACAACACATAGAAAATTAAACAGCGATTAGATGGGGAGAGGGTTGGCATGATATTCTTAATACTAAGAGGACAATGGAATTGAGTAACAGTACTATACTAAGGCAACTAAAATGAGATAGAAGAAAACTGAGTCAGTCTGATAAATAATTTTTTTCTCATAAACCAGCAATGAAAACATGTCTTTTGAAGACGTATCTTGATTAAAATTACATCTTCAAAGTGTTAAAGTGCCTAGAAATCAGTATTTACGCGCTTTATTCAGCACATAAAAAGCATAAAACACAATCAAAGCAAAGTTGACAAATGTACAGTTAAAAGAGCTCTTTCCATAATATACTTTTTAAATTATTTCGCTATGCAAGAGATTCCACAATTTTATGCACCCAATTTGAGATGGTGAAGGCCTTTACCTTAGAACTGCTATAATTTAGTCAAACATGGATGGGTTCTTTTTTGTGTGTGAGCATTTAAAATACTTGTAGTTGGACAGAGAATCACAATATGGGTGAAAATAGATAGTAAGTATAGCACAGAGCCATGTGTAGATCTTGGGGTTGACAAAATCAGTACCTCAAAAACGCCACTTAAGTAGGGAGCTGCAAAAACATGGAACCAAATATGCCGCTAAAATGGCAATCAAGAATCAGAGACTAAGGCCCTGAGGCTTACCCGTCAGCTTCCGCACCGTCTCTGTCTAGAACCAAGGCTCCTTGGGCTCCTGGCATGACCTTGGGCAGACTGGACTGGTTGTTGCCCTGGCTGAAGTATGTGTGCTCCAGCTCCGAAATGTGGGCACAGCACCTGCAGGCAGGAGAAAAACCGCAGAATGAGACATTTGGACCAATATACAGGGGTAAGACGAGTTTATAATAAGTCCATTTTAGTAGGTAAAAAACTCACCCCAAAAATACTAACCCAGAATGATGAAGGCGGATAATTTTCCTACATTGACAGTGTTTGAAATACACAAACACAGTAAACTATTATTATTCGCATTATCAGAATCATCTTCCCAGAACTCTGAGCTGTTACAACAGTGACAGTAGATTAAGATCAACAAGACAGAGTTCCTCATGGGCGAAAATATAAAAGTCTATAAATTTCAGAAACATTGTTCACCAACCTATAGTTTTACTGACGAAATGGTGCTTTCAACTGAGAAAAGTTGTGCTATCATCTCAGTAAAATAGACTGTCAAAAACTCAGCATATTTTTAATCACTATAAAAGTCTCCAAAGAGTTTTCATCCCTTTGTCAAAATGTGAGCGCTAAAATGCTTGCATCAACAAGGACTTGATCTTTAGCATGTGTAAAAAACTCAACCAACCTTTGTCCAAAAGAAAAAATTATTTGTTAAAAAACCATCTCGAACATTTCACCTGAATACATGTTTCCAACAGTCAGCTGCATGGCTGGCCATCTCCAGTCCTGTTGTCATGACAACGTCCATGCTGAGCACATGGGCTGCATGGAGTCTGACCAGCTTGGGTTTGCCACTGCTCAGCACTGACCCCTTGGTCTGACCTCTGACCTCGGTGGCTGCTGTGACCCGAAAGTCCTCCTTCATACAAGAAGTGCGGGCTAGCTGGGAAAAAGCACTACCACACAGCTGCTGAAGACCTGGGAGTGGAAATGAACAGACAAGTTGAGGAAACAAAAACATCTGTCAGTCCATGTAAGTCCATGTAAAACCATAAAATCAGTTGAGGAGGTAGGGTCTGCTGAGGCGAAACCACCTCACAATTTGAAGCAAAACCAGTCAGAAAGTCGACATAAAACCATCAGATAAGTTGAGGAGATATGATCTAGAGTGGAAAAACCACCATAGAAAATAAGGCAAAAAGAGTCTGACAAGTCGGAGCAATATGGTCAGCTAATTTATGGGAAAATGAATGGATATGTAAAGGTGACATAGACAAGTCGAGGTAAAAAAACTCAGATCAGTTATGGTGACATAGTCAAAGAAGTGCAGAAAAAATGGTCAGATTAGTTGAGGTCATTAGGTTTGAGATGTGATAAGAAAACTAGTCACTGTGCTACATTCAGGCAAGTGGAAGTAATTTAGTGTGAGATGAATGAGATGTAGAGACAGGATAGAAGACAGGGGAAGAAGCCTGAGAAACTTAAAACACTTCACCTTTCAGCCATATTTTCATACAGATTATTCAGGAATCAGTGTTAAGACAATATACCCTTCCCAAAATATCAGAATCAAAACCATTGGCACTTTACCTCAAAATAGTTACTATATAGAAAAATGAAAGATCATTAAGGTATAGGAAAAAAAGGGAGGGAACATGGTAATAATATCTAGAAATCCGGAACAAACATGATGCTAAACCTCTGCTGATGCTAATGCAATTATATGAAAGACTTGCTGTAATTGAAACACAGTGACTGACCCGAGGACAAAGGGACTGATCGTAGTACAAAGGCAAATTGGGTCAACGTATCGGCCAATAGCACCACTAAGAAAAGTTTTCGAAAGAAAAAAATACTTGGGTACTCGTTACATATTTATTTTTAAAAGCAACCACAAATAGTTGGACAAAGTTTCTGTAAGTATACATTCTATGATCTTGAGTTTTTTATGTCAAGGACATAAATAAACCAGCGACGCACTTCCTGAGGAATGAAAGGCTTACACAGATTAACCCTCGTGGTGCTTCTCATTCAGAGACTCCTTTGCACAGATCAGTGCTTGTGTACTTTTTACAGCCAGCGCACACTTTTGCTACCTATACATATGTAACATTTTCATACCACCCACCTACGTGTATTTCCAAACGAGGCATTATAAAACCCCTGTCAACTACCAAAGTGATCCCCTTTGCCTACCTAAACTATCAGTTCACAAACTAGTGGGCGATACTGCCCAGGTTGGCAAACACTGGTATAGACCCATGCTCAAGGAATCAACAAGGCAAAGAATCAGTTTCATTACCGAATTTCAGTCTAATATCTAAATAAGAAAATGGGGGTGGCTGACAGGTACTCTGGTGTGGCCTAATTCTCCTTTCTTATCAAACATCTATCATCTATCTCTCTCCTACTTCTTTAATTTGTATGTAACTATCTAGTAACACCTCTAATATTCGGCACTTATATGACCTAATTGTGTTGCAAGTGCAGTAAAACTCATACTAAAACAAAAAACAAAAGTATAAGAAATGACACTTACCGAGCACACAACACAGCTTAGCAGCTTTCTGAAGCCCGTTGAGGCTGGTGCAGATGGCGCTGCGGGCTCGACGAACGTCCTCTCTGGCACTATCGGTGGCCAACAGCAAGGAGAGGCTGTAGCGACCTCCACCCCCCGGTGCTCCCCCCTGCTCGTTCAGCATCACAGACAGGATGTCCAACACCTGAGCCCAGCATCCTGACAACACATCCGCAGCAAGGGCTTTACCTGGTGCAGATTGTCTTTGGTTAGTCAGTTGATCAGTTAGAGTATATTATGTTCTCAAGTTACAATCAGAATACTGAACTGAGCTTAACATTATTATTGTTTATATTGCTGTTAATTTACATTATGCATGGGACTGTAAGCCTGCGTGTGTGTGCATGCTTGTGTGTATGTGCGTGCGTGCATGGGTGCATGTGTGCATGTGTGTATGTACATAGTGAAACACCAAACCAATGTGCCAGGATCTGGACAATAAAGATGTATCTTATCTTATTTTATCCAATATCAACACAATTTGGTCATGTCATCACTGAGACATTTTTGTAAGAATTTCTAGCCAGATAGGATACAATTCTATAATTTCAAAGGCTGACAACAAAATAGCAAAGAAGGAAGAACAAAGCATGAAATATAGGGAAACTGTGCATCAAAGTAAACATCAAACAAGTGTAAGTTTGATGTCGTACACAAAAATGATAGACTCAGAATTTCTAACTTAACCTGAAAAACAGGATAAAGTAGAACTGCTCACTCTCATTATGACAGAAACAATATCTCATCAGGGCTTTCACACCATCAGGTGAGTTGCATCTCCAGCCAACCTCGGCTGAGAGGGATACATTATTCCAGCAGAGTGATGGAGATACTCTATAAAGAATTTCCCCATCTGGGAATCAAACTCATATCTTTTGCCTGCACTGGTCAAACACCTAACCACTACACCACAAGTGCCTGTTGCACAAAATACAATATTGACAGCCAAGATAGACTTTTGAACAGACTTTGGGTATGGATTATTCTCCATGAACACACTCTACCATTGCTTTACTACGTTATTCACCGTTACTACTGCCAGACCTCCTTTATACTGCTTCTACTAAAGAGTTCAAAAACAGTCTCAAGCCAAGCAGTAAAGGGATTAAAAAGGCACCAAGATTAAAGACACAAATATCCCAACTGCTTAGTGTAAGGCTCCATCATATGTCATTTTGAAAAGTGATGTAAGACAGAGTCTTGCAATGAGCATTCGATCTTTGCCCTCTCTGCAGCCAGCATTGACCAAAGAAAACAAGGACCCAGTATGCCCCTCCCACTGACCTGCCTCTACCCTCCAGCTCTGATCTGGCTCCTCCCCGTCAGTATCAAAGTCCAACTCCTCTCTGTACTCAGAGGTCAAACGACTGCTGACCTCTGTCGACCCAGATCCCTCCAGGTCTGAGAAAGAAAAAAACAAACAAAAAACCCCCGATAAATTGAGCACTCGTTGAATTCTTTTTATTTGGTCCATGAATGTTTTAAAACATCTATGCAATCCGTTACATTTTTATTTCATTTCCAAAATGATTTCAATAGCTAAGAAAGAAAGCTTTTCGAATTTCCTTTCTAATAGAATTTTTTATACATATATATGGATAATAGTATGTTTTACGTACACACATGTCCATTAATTTTTAAGATGCGATATTTTTATTAAAGAAATGAGCATTGAGCAATTTTAAGAAGATGGAAATGAGCAGCATAAATGTTATTTATTATTACTATTATCATCATTCAATAATATGCTGTTTCATTATTCACATTGAAAATTGCAATCTAAAGGAGAGGAAATCTTTGGTGCAGAGTCCTGTGCTCACCCTGTATGAAGTGCACCAAGTGGTTCATGTCCTGTCTGTGTGATGGGGAGGAGCACAATGGGGAAGGTGAACAGATGAGGCTCGAACCCAGGACTTGAGCGTACACTTCCTTCAACCAAACTGGTGGAAGGTACAACAGCAAACCAGAGCTGAACATCTCATTTAGAAAATCCGCCTGAAAGAGATAAGAAAAGGATACGTGTTATGTCCTTTACAATACTGAAAGAACATTAGAGATGGATGC